TTTTTTTTTTTTTGGTACTGGGGATCGAACTCGGGTCCTTGCTCTTGCACAGCAGGCAGCAAAACCACTGAGCTAGATCCCCAGCAATGTTTGTCTTTTTGGACATGCTATGAACGAAACACTATGAACGAAAATTACCCAACAAATGCCATAATAGCAACAAGAAGCAAAAAGTCAAGATTATGTTTTTCTATTTATTGAGTTATTGTAAACATATTTTAATCCTGAAGTCCTTGAAGGACAAAAATGAAAGAAATTTACAAATTTTTTGGATGTATCCATACTAGGGCAGAGTAAAATTAATAGATTTCAATGGTGTATGTATGTACTTTGCATTCAGCCCAGTCTCAAAATAAAACTTTTTAGGTTCTGGTGACTGAAGAATGCTTGAGAAATTGAGCTGTTGACTATCGCTTAGTCATTCCCCAATCACAATATTATAGCTGTTGATTTATCCAATAATTAAATGAGGAAATGGAAGATTAGAGCTTGTTGGTATTGTGTTATGAAGTAATAGATTAATCTGCTGTTTGTCACTAGAAGGGGCTTTAGCAGAGTTTTAAGCTCCATCCCTTTGAGAAAAGCTGCCATGCCGAGGCAATATTAACTCTCAAATCTTAGTCAGGGATTTGTAAGGTGCAACTGACAAACATTTTAAAAAATGACTCAAAGTAGAGCTCTTCCAATTATAGTTAATGATATGTGTACTGAGTTCTTTTCCAAGCACAGGAAAAAATTACTCTATTGTCTGAAAGTCTTTAATGGATAAAAACTAATCTTCATCATTGTCAACCTATAATTTGATTTTTCTTAATTTCATTGTTAAAAGCAGGAGAAAGCAGATATGACTATACGTGCCTAATAGAAGTATGAGTAGAATAAATAGAATGATAATAGAATATACTAATCCCAAGTGGTCATTGTGGGTTCTTTTAAGGACTAGAACTCTGATATCTGAAGACAAATATAATCTTGTTCATTGAAAATGATCATTCTTAGGGCCAGGGATGTAGCTCAGTGGTGCCGTGCCTGCCTGGCAACCACAAGGTCCTGAGTTCAATCCCCAGTACAAAGAAAAAGAAAAAAAGATCATTTTCAGAACTCTAAAACCACATAGTTATCACTGGTCTATTTTTTTTTTAAGTTCTTTTATTGGTACATTTTAGGTATACAGTTCGTTTACATTTATCATTGGGTGCTAGTACTTGTACATGATGTATCTTGGTTCTTATTTTTTTCCCCATTACCTGTGCGCCCTTCACCCCCTCCACCCTTCCCTATTTACATAGACATCATTTCCATTTTTTTTTCTTTTCTCATAATTTTTCCTTTCCCCTTCTCCTCCCTTCATCCCTAACGTCTTTGGACCTTTTTTCCTATTTCAGATTATCAATTATTCATTTTAATCATTTTAACCCTTATTTATACTATCAGTTTCTCACACTAGAGAAACTATTCAGTATTTACACGTGTATGTCCTATTTATTTC